AAAACGACAAAATTTCCTAACAATCAATTATCATTAGAAAAGAATTATCGTCTCTGAGAGAATTTAAACATTACGTATGTTGCCATCAGCAGAGTGAAAGTAAAGAAGATATGTGAGTTCCACATTTCAGCCTGAAAGGGGCTGCGCTAACAAGCTTTTTTATATACATTAAACTCCATACCTAGTCATCTGTGATTCGCCAGATAGATGTTCCTACAAAGCTTTTCAGGACCGAATACAATTAGAGGAATGATTAATTTATGAGAATCTTGTATTAGGTTTGGTGTATCGTTTCCTCCAGGTATCTTTTCCTATTGATAGGGCGGAGGATGTGAAATAGAAGCTGAAAAGAAGATTAAGAATCGTTCTGATATCTGAATCCTACAAGAAGTTTTCTCCGTCTCGCCTCGGCCCTCTCCACTCTGATCTTAATTTTGTTCTTTGTGGACTCGTCACATCTTTTAAAATGTTTGTATCTTTTGATCATATGATTTTATCAGCCTCATCCATGCAGAGATAAATCGTCTTTCACTCGGAGTTTCACCTCGTTTTAGCTACTAGTGTAGCAACAATAAGATATAAGAATTATTTACATTCATTTCACATATTATCAATTGAGTATTTCGATATTACACTTCAAAAAATTGTCTGAAATTCATGGATTACGTTAAGGTCATACTATTGTCGTTTTCAAAAAGCAATGGGGTGTGGTTGTTTTGTGAAGAACTCTAGAATGGAAAGAGGTAGGAACCGGCGGTTTTCACCATTTGAAAGAAGAGACATCACAACATCTTCTTCTCCAATAGTGTATAAGATGGAATCATTTTAAAATCAACCGCTTTTATAAAATATCGAAAAAATGCAGAAAAATTATCTGCCGTTGAGGTGAAATTTTAACAATAAGTGATAAAATTTGCTTAAAAATTAGAAGAAATTCATATTTTTCGAGCGAGTAAATAGAGAATTTTATTTACTTAACATTAGAATATGTGAATATAATTATTCGCCTTATATGTTAAACTATAGATCTGAAGTCCCTCTATATAAATCACATATCAAAACTAAAATTCATCGCAATGACAGACAGTTTTCATGCAGTCTTCGAAAAGTTTCGGAGAAATAATTGATTTTAAAACGATTTCATTTATACAATATTGGACAAAACGACGCTCCGGTTTCATCTCTTTCGAACAGTGAAAACTGCAGCTCACTGACTCTTTCCATTCTAAAGTTATTCAAAAAATTGCCACATCCATTGCTTTTTGAAAACGACATTAGTTTCGATGTCTTGTGAAATATGAGTAGTTTCAAAATGAAAGAAAAATTTATCTTACTGTGCATGATTAATGCATGTATGCATCACTGGATAGTCTAGTGACTGCGTATTTACTCTTGGTGTTAAAAAATTACAATATAAACACTTTTGAAGAATTACTCTTTCGTATTCTTTGCTGAATCTATTCTGCAAAAAAGACATACCGAAGCATCAATAATATTTGAGTACAATCCCATTGGATGCATTGAGCTTTGTTTAAGAGCACTTATTTTTGTTTCAAAAATACTTATATATAACATATGTAACACAGTATTTAGGCATATCAAAAAACTACTCTAGACTAGAATAATAGAAAACGAATTTTAATCTATAAGCCTTCCTCACAGAGTTATAATGATTTTGTTGAACTTTTACTAAAAGACTCTGTGTGAGCATGAAAATTGAACCAAGAACTGCTTATCGGAAATTTTTTTATAAGCAGGTTTTATGGTCTTAAGAAAATCACAGAATTTTCAGACAAAACAATGAAGTTCTTCATGAGAAATTTCATGTTACAAAAGTCGCACTTTCTCTGACTGTTTCTTTTGAATTTACTGCGTTTTTGAACACTAAACAGTTCATAAAGACAGCAATCGTTTTGATGAAACCGTCTAGCATACTCTTTGGATTATGTGACTACGTAGATGAAGTTGACACCAGATTCGAGCACAAATTGGGGATGTTCGCAAGTACATGAAATACATTGTTTACTCGTTTTATTTCATACAGTGAAGTAAAGTTGCATATTTTACTAGTGAATATACAATATCATAGAGCTTGTCGAGTTGTACTTGGAACAAATTTCTACGTGAACACGGTTTCAATTATATCTATATCACGAGACTTAGATATAGACAATATTTCAGCTCAGAATGCCTTTGTTCAATTATCCTCTCAATATCTTATGCTATGGTAAAAACTTATTAAAGTATCGTGACTATGTGAAAGAAAGTGTATGAACTTGAATTCTTAATGGATTTCTCTAGGCTACAGTTTCTCTCTACATTCTCAAAATTCGAACTCAAAAGTGATGAGTTACTTTGTGCGGCTCCCCTGTTAGACTCCATTTTCTTTATAGTTTCTATACATCTATGATTGTTTATACAGCCTCAACGATCACTGATTTCATAGTTTCCACTATGATGATTATTGTCTTTTTAAAGTTTTAATCAATATATTAAAAATCGCTGATAAAAGAACTTACTCTACATCATCAAATTAGTAAATGTTCTGTGGGAATGTTCTTTTTCTCTTTATTTTCCTGTCCCATTTTCAAGAGAATCGGAACGATACTAATTATTGCCATTGTCGTTTTCCGTACGGACGCGAATGGCTTGAATTATTTCCTTTTCCGTTTTCTGTGTGAACGGTAATAATGTTAATTATTGCGTTTGCGTTTCTCTCGAGAACGAGAACGATATTAGCTATCACCTTTTCCGTTTCCTTTGCGAACAGGAGTAATCTTAAATACCAGTGTTCGCAAATTTTATCGTCTTTTTCTGATTTACATTGAGTTATATCTAAGTTACCGCTTTCTATTTCTACGTAATTAACAGACGGTACTATCAATTATAATTTTATTATTGATTTGAATTCATCTCACAGTGTGCAAAACGTAACGCCACGAGAAGGTAGTGTATTCTAATAGTAGTTTTTCTCAAATATCGAAGATGAATGAGCAATATTAGTTTCGAAAGTCTTATTATCCGAAGTGTAAGTCGATCGGTTCAGCCGATGTCATCGCTGTGATAAAAATATCGATGGTCGAGTTTTGAAAGATTCAATTTTTAATAGTAGAAAAACAGTTTATTACCGTCACATCTCGTCAAAACGTTTTGATCGACAAGTAGTTTCTTAATATAGCATTTTGCTGAAAGATAATCAGTGTTTTGTTTCTTTAGTTCGTCAATATATCAAGATCAACAAAGAAAGAAGACTGAGAAAAGACTCAGCGAACGCAAAAATGTTGAAGCAGAAATAAAAAGCAAATACGATTCTTTTTATACATTGACATTATATTTGTTTATTTATTGTCGTGTATTCTTCATTAAGTCAATTGTATAATATTTATTTAACACATATCAAGATTTTTATTTAAAAATTCATCTTAATATTATCAACATTGTTTGCAGTTCTTTTCTTCAAAGAGCATTTTCTCAACTATATGTTGTTTCGACGAATATTTTGTTGACAAAAACGTATGTCTTTTATGGATTTATTCAGAAACTCAACCAAACTCCGCTATGAACGATATAGTCTTATAGCTTAATGTCTTGAATATCTCCTGTATCTCCAACATATGCGCAAGTGAACATAGTGATTCTTCCATGACTTATATTAGGACTTGTATACATACAAAAGATATTCAATGTTTTAGAAATATTAGATCAGTATTTGCGTGATCAACTAAATTGTTCGGATTGCTGGATAACTTCACGTGACATACGAAATAAGTTACCGAGAACAGAAAAAGATGCTTTACGAATACCCATATTAATTAAGACAATGAGCTTGTGTTTTATTGACGATAGGATACTCAACGAAGTTCGACACTCGTGTTTCGATTTTATAGTTAGCTATGGGCCAAAAACATATGTACAATTAAGAAAAGATTGAGCATTACCTAAGATATTACACGGTCAAAATATCAGAAAAACAACATAATTATTTGATAAAGGTTTTCATTTATGTACATTCACAAGAGACTTTGGTTCTGCGAAAAAAAAAAACATCATAGCTACTAGAGAATTTGCTTTAATGTACTTAATTAAACATGACGAAGCTCTGGAGGAAGTGTAATTGTGTCAAAAAGAACAGTTTTATCACAACAAACGTGTCTCAAACTGAGCAATTAACTTTAAACATAAAAACGATATAAGTGGCGTAGCATATAGTTCAAATAACGAAATATTTCCAGAAAAAAAAGATATTTGCTATCTTTCATGGACGACAATAAAAATTTTTTTTTAATTTAGTTTGTGTTTACCGCTATTACTACAACTGAGCTACTTTTCTCTATCTTTTTACCTCTTGTAGAAACATCCACAAATGGCACGGTGTACTTTGTATATTTATCATATCATTTGTATGTATTTGTCCATTATATCGATCATACGTGTATCAAAATATCTGTTCTTGCGTATGTTTGAGATATTGCTGATATAGACATTTCTATGTCTCTAATATCCTCTGAATATCTTACAGTTGGTAAACTAAGACGTAATTAATTTTCTGCCTATGCCCTAAGAAAGGATCTCATCAGCAAACATCGTTGAAGACACAACATACTTATCGTTTATGTCTAGTTTTTTATCCAGTCTAAAAGTGATCTTGTTCTAAGCACACAGGAACAATCCGTTGCGGTTTCATATAAAAGACATCTTTTATCAAATCTCTTCTAAACAACTGGAGCAAAGGCTTTACATGAACAGTCTCGTACATAAATTTTCATAGCGTATTTTACCGATCCTTACATCCCTATCATTAGCTCTATCTGTTTACTCCTGTACCCTTATTACTCTGTGCGTTTACGTCTATCTTCTATAACTAATTTTGATGATTAGATTTTGATAAATATAGTTGGAAACCAATATTCTTATACATATACTCTTATACCAAAAACATTTTTTTCTAGAGTTTATGTCACAGATTGGTAATCATTCAACATAGATTTTTGACCTTAAAAATGGATTCATCGGGAAATAAAGTTCACGAATATACGAAGAAAATATGGTACGCCCCAAATAAATTCGAGTCATATGGTGATGAAGAAATCAAAGCTGTCGAAGCCTGCTTACGCAAGGGTTGGCTTGCACCAGGTCCCATTACTGAACAATTTGAATGCGAAATAGCAAGTATCTTTGGAAAAAAATATGCTGTAATGGTTAATTCAGGTTCATCAGGTAATATATTGGCATTGCTCGTTGCAGGTTTGAAAGCAGGCGATGAAGTTGTTACACCTGCATGCACCTTTTCTACAACTGTTGCTCCCATTGTTCAACTCGGCATCGTACCCGTATTCTGTGATGTAGAATTCGGTTCGTATGTACCTTCTGTCACACAAATTATTGAAAAAGTTAGTCCACGTACAAAAGCTTTCTTTCTTCCGAACTTGATCGGTAGCAAGCCTGACTGGCAAGGATTAAAGGACCAATTATTTATGTTAGGTCGTCGAGATATTTTGCTCATCGAAGATTCCTGCGATACGATCACGAACACTACAATAACAGATATTGCTGTAACCTCATTTTATTCTAGTCATATCATTACAGCAGGTGGTGGTGGTGGAATGGTTATGTGTAATGAGAAGAGTCAACGTGATCTTGCTTTACAATATCGTGATTGGGGACGAATGGGTACGAACACTGAATCATTTTCAGAACGTTTTGGACATTTTGTTGACGACATTGAATACGACTTCAAATTTTTGTATCCTGTTCTCGGTTATAATTTGAAATCGACTGAAATGAATGCTGCATTTGGTCTAGAACAGTTAAAAAAGTTACCACTATTTCTTGAAACACGTCGTCAAAATATAAATCGTTTTGTGCAACAACTCAAAGAATTAGAAGCTCATGGCCTTATACTCCCAAAAAATCATGACAAAGTAGATTGGCTTGCATTACCACTCATGTTACCCAACCGCAAAGTAATCCTTCAAAAACTTGAAGAGAACAACATTCAGACACGAGTGTGTTTTGCAGGTAACATTACTCGACACCCTGCATATAGACAGTTCAATAAGGTCTTTCCGAATGCGGACGAAATTATGAAGAATGGCTTTTTGATCGGCGCTCATCACGGTATGAATCAAGAAGATGTTGACTATGTGTGCAAAATAATCAAAATGCATGTCTATTCGAGCCAATCATCTAGCCATATTGATACGCAATCTTAACGCTAGATATATCATTCCGCATTAAAAATCAGAAGTAATGGACTTCTCATAATTATTTGCATACTTTGCTTTCTCAAGTAACAATAAACTAATAATTGATATCCTTTATTATCTTGAATTTTACTTCTAATTGAATAGGGATACTAAGATTGAATTTGATTCTTAGCATGTAACTGATTTCAGATACTTGATACATTAAATGAAGAACAGTAGTTATGTTCACTCATTCCTTCTTTGAAAGAATAGGCTCTCCCTAGGGCAGCAGTCAAAATAGTTGGTGAATAATTTTCATACGCCGTTAGTTTTTGATTGCTTCTTGGAATCGATAATGAAATGGATTATATTTTTTGAAATTACATAGATATATGCATATTGAAAGTCAGTAGTATTTGATTCATAATTAACATGCAGTCAACATCTGAACAGTTATCAGTTGATGCTTCGATGATGTCTAATTCATATTTGGACATTTCTTGTTTTGAGCCAACATATAAATAGCATTTTTTCTTGACAAACGATTACATCGAGTGAACTAATATTCTACACATCAATGTTCATGATGAAACAATGTGTTCTTGTTAAAGTTTCTTAGAATTTCAACATGTAACACAGTTTTTCCAATCGAGAAGTTTCTCAATACAAAATAACTTAACGTGAAGAGACTGTTATTATTCGATATCTCATTATTGACAAATCTCTTTCGTTTATATTCACTAATCAAATCAAGTTATTCTTCTCATTGACGATACGACATTCGAAAGCAGCTGATACAGGCAGCGTGTGGTTTTATCTCGCGTAGAGTTTTTTCGCGTTGAAAAGTCAAAGGTTCACATTGTTTTCTCTTTTATATATAAGGATATAAAAAGTTTATTGGAAGATTATGCTTGAAAGTATGATAAGTGAGAATGCAAGACACTCATGTACTACTTCTCAGCTGATATTGAGATTCGATTGTCTTTCTTATGTCGGCTTAATTCCTAGAATTGCAAAGTGTTCTACTTGTTTTTTACTTGCAAAAAATCATTTCCACCACTTATATGGCGCATAGTTTTATCCAAAACAATGGAAACCAGCTGATTTCATCAATTGATTTATATGCATACGTGAAAGAAACATAATTTCATTTATTCGATCAAACTCCAGTCAGTTCCATCCATTCGTGGAACTCGAAGCGACTCGGATCCGTATTGGTGAATGCCTACATAAAATAAATATCAAGCGAAACATAACTGTTAGTAAAATATTTTTTCTTCCTACTGAAGATGTATTATTCCAACGTAAAACTCATATCTAATGAATTACGTCTGTGTCTTTGATGACAGTAGAAAGTTTTCAAAATAAAAACTGAATGGCAAACGTACAGAATGATTATTCAAAAGCAAGAGTGAATTTGAGTGCCAAGAAGTAAACAAAATCCTGCTACAATCCGCCGTGGATCTCGTTACAAGTTTTTTGAGGATTGGCTCGACAAATATATTGGCAAAACTCTTGAAACAGGCACGCTCTGAGAGTAAAGTTAGATTTATCGAGAGAATTAAATTCCAATGAATTTGACATTCGAGAAGCAGCACATTGAGTTTCTCTTCTTTTGATATTTTAATGTTCATACTTACAAATGATAGCTGAGATTGTAATAAGTATCAAAAAAAGACAATTTGTTTCAGCAATTGGAGATATAGAAATTGAAACAATTTGTTTTTTCAAGTAATTCTCTACTGTGTACGCACCAGTCGGCATCAATATATCATATATGAATCTGTTATAACATTCATTACTGCAATATTGCCACTTCTCGTTATAATTGTAATAAGACCACGCGTTTACTTCTATGATTGCAACACACCAATTATATGTTCATCTATTCACTATTAGCAACTTTTTTATGAGTAGCCATAGGTGACAGTTATCTCAATGAGTAGGCAAAAAGGTGCAATGAAATATTGTATCTTTAGAAACTTGAGCTTCTATTTTGCACACGACCATGTATGAAGTAAATAATATAATAATTGCTTTTGGCACTGCCAATAAACGTTGGTTTCAGTCTACCCTAATAGCAAAATATCAGTGCAGGAAATAATGTATAGGAAAAAACATTTACTTTCTTCTCAATTTGAAGTACACTTGCTGCTTTCACAATAGGCATTGATGTGTTCGATTTAATAGAAAAATGCAATAAGTTTTTCTATTTCTTTGCTTTTACTTTCATCAAATATAAATCAAACTCAGTTGTCCAAAGTAGGAGTTTTCTTATGGGGATTCGTAACGTTTTGAAAACCCTCAATTTGTTCGAATCGGACTCAAACGATTTCGATACAATTCAACAAGAGAGAATTATCACTCGTCTCTGTCTGGTCTTGGTTTCGCTGTCGATGGCCGGATTGATCGTGTACGCGACTCTTCTATTGCATACTGTTATCATTAACAAATACAATCCTTCTGAGCAAGAGTTCAAGTGGCTTCACGTTCGTTATCCAGACACGATCAAATGTCCTTGTTCGCGTATCACCATACCGTACAGTGAATTTATTTAATATCGTGTTATTTTTCATGAAGTCTTGACAAGTCAATTTCTTTCCGAAACATGAATCAAGGCGTCGTATATTTCCAATTGTACGTTCATCTCGTCCATCGACATCCGAACAACATTAAGCACTTTGTAGCAATCGATACGATTGTTGTGTAGTCTTGCAAAAATTACGATGACTGATGTACTCGACAACTTCAATACGATCTTACTGCTAACAATGGAACCTTTTGTATTGTTCATCGAGTTAATCGACCGCATTAGGATCAAATTATTACTCTCACCGCCAAACTAACAAATTTAAAATCTTACGTGCCCATAGCGAGTCTGGACCCAGATAATCAATTTTTAAGATTTTGACAATTTTGGTAGGTAAACATATACATATCAACTGGATCGAAATTTTTGGTGTACTCATAATAAAATATACACCATTCGAAAGAGCGCGAAAAACTGAGTCTAACGATGTAGTTTTTCTGAAGACATACTCCCAAGTCCCCAGCAAAAATTTTTAAAAAACGTTACTCAGTGACTACGATAGAGCTTGTTGAAAAATGTTTTTTAAAAGTTTTTGCTGGGTGCTTGGGAGTACGTCTTCAGAAAACTATATCGTGAGACTCAGTTTTTCGTGCTCTGTTGAATGGTGTTTATCATATTATGAGTATAAGACATAAAAAATTTCGATCCAGTTGATATGTTACGAAAAATATTAACATCTAATGTTTTACATAATCACTAGGTTTTTAAAGAATTTTTTTTTAATCTTGTCGGAATGTATCGATGATATTAGAATCACACTAGATCTATCATCTTTTGCAAGTTTACTAAAGCCAAAGTAGAAAAGGATATGCATATTATATTTCAAACATGACATTAGATGAATATCTAAAGATTAAGTGCATTAATGCATAACTTTATGATTGTAAGTTGCTTTTGTGATTGGTTATCCGAAGCCACAATTAAATGTATATTTAAAATAAAAAACTCTTTCATTTTCAATATCACCATTATCATTTAAGAGAGATCTAATTGATCGAATTAAACATAAATGAATTTAATTAACATCGCGAAGCATCTTCTTTATCTAACAGAAAGAGAATTTTCTGATGATGATTCAAAAACAAGTGCTGATGAAATTGCTGCATCGCAGCAATTATTTGAAGTTTTAAAATCATTTAAAGATAGCTCTTTGAATCAACTCGATGTGTACGAAACTCTCGACTTTAATGATGAATATGATGAATGTGATGAAATAACTGACGAAGAAGAAAGTACTGATGAAGAATGTGAAAGTATCGATGACATGGATGATTTTGATGATGATCAAGAAATGCATATTTATAATCAATTCACATTAGAAGAAATGGAAGATATAATCGAATGGGTTGATCAACATCCTAATTATAAGTTTACGACTATTAAACATAGATTTCGAAAAGTCAAATTTCCCAATTATATATCAAGATTTCGAGCATATATTAAAGAGAACGGTACAAGACTTGAAAAACTCGATCGAATCAAGCAATTTATGTGGGATGAATTTTATATCAAGAGAACTATTGAAAAAGAAGCTGTTCATGATACTGATTTAGAACTTTTTGCAATTCAAAAGGCAAGGGAATTAAATTGGGATAATTTTAAAGTCAGTGAATCTTTTATTACAACGTTCAAGAAAGAAAATAAAATTTCATCAAGAAGATACAATAAACTTATTACTCGACTGTCTTCAAACAGAAAAGCTTGCAGTTTAGAAGGTATGTGAATATATCCGAACTCCCGGTATAATTCTCTTTATGTAAACAATGCCTGTCTTTTAGATGCTCAAATTTGGATCAAAAACCAAAAATCTTTGATTTCGAATTATTCGGCTAATCAAATTTTAAACAGCGATCATTGTTCATTCCAGAAAGAATATATTTCTCCAAGAACTCTTTCTCTCACTGGTGAAAGAACAACCGAAGTTGCTGTTAAAAAGAAAAATAATGTGACACACTCTTATACGATCCAGCCTATTACATCAGCTGATGGTCAATTATTAAACAAGTTCTTACTTATTCTTCAAGAAACAGAAAATGAATTCGGTAAAAGAGTAGAAAAAGATTTAATCGTACCACCAAATGTCATAGTACGAGCTTCAAAGTCTGGTAAAAGCAGCGATGAAAAACATCGGACTTTTTTGAATGAAGTTCTACGTCCGTTGGTTGGTCGAAAATTTCTTCTTTTCCTTGATTGTTGGACAACTCAAACTGATCTAAAAAAATTTAGAGCAGTATTTCCACATCAAGACAGTCAGTTGTTAGTTTTTCCTGAAGGATCAACTGGTCATATTCAACCTCAAGATTTATCTTTATTTCGTTCCTGGCGATACTTTCACAAGAAAATCGAACATTACGTTCATATCAATCGAACAGAAATGAACTTGAATGATCGCCAATATTTCATAAATATGCATTCCATCATCCACAATCAACTATCTGCTCCACCATTTAAAAATCTCATCAAGTCTGGATTTATACAAGCCAAGATATTGAACGAAACAGTTGGTGAAATCAACAAACCAAAGGATGTTTGCTTTAAATTCTATGATCTTTATTGCTCAGCTATTCATTGTGAAGAACGAACTCTTCTAACTTGCGCTTGGTGCAAAAGACACCTTTGTTATTATCATCTGATTGAAGATCTACATCTTCATCTGTGATAGTCTATTCTTTTTATGTGAAATAAAATCATAAACTGATAATCTATAAATTATTGTAAGAAATTGCCCACTTCTCTCTTACTTTTGTATTGGTAAACTTGCAAAAGATGATAGATCTAGTGTGATTCTAATATCATCGATACATTCCGACAAGATTAAAAAAAAATTCTTTAAAAACCTAGTGATTATGTAAAACATTAGATGTTAATATTTTTCGTAACATATCAACTGGATCGAAATTTTTTATGTCTTATACTCATAATATGATAAACACCATTCAACAGAGCACGAAAAACTGAGTCTCACGATATAGTTTTCTGAAGACGTACTCCCAAGCACCCAGCAAAAACTTTTAAAAAACATTTTTCAACAAGCTCTATCGTAGTCACTGAGTAACGTTTTTTAAAAATTTTTGCTGGGGACTTGGGAGTATGTCTTCAGAAAAACTACATCGTTAGACTCAGTTTTTCGCGCTCTTTCGAATGGTGTATATTTTATTATGAGTACACCAAAAATTTCGATCCAGTTGATATGTATATGTTTACCTACCAAAATTGTCAAAATCTTAAAAATTGATTATCTGGGTCCAGACTCGCTATGGGCACGTAAGATTTTAAATTTGTTAGTTTGGCGGTGAGAGTAATAATTTGATCCTAATGCGGTCGATTAACTCGATGAACAATACAAAAGGTTCCATTGTAAGTCCAGTAGCACAGCCTCAATGATTAGTCGAAACAAACGCTAAAATGGCTCTCCAATTTGCGATTGGTAATTCAGTAGCTGTTCTGAAACGAAATCTACTTATTACTCAACGATCAATAGTAGGCAATCAATTGATCTCGGGTTTAGTGACCAATTTTCGTTTGCCTTTGAAAACTCTCAGTTCTGATGACTGAAAAACGTTTGTACCCGTTGTGAATGTCTTTACTGATGGATGTTCCTGTTGGAACCTGAATGGTTGTTCTCAGTCAGCTGTTATTTTCGAAACGAATAGAATATCGAACGAGACAATTGTACCTGGCATGATATTCAACTATCAACCATTTGAAGGAACACTTGTTTCATCATTAGAATGCTTTTACGAAGCATCGTATGTCTCTCTTCTCCAACAATCATTATTGATGAATGCAACATCATCACCATTACTCAATTCTAAAACTCGGTTTGCACATACTACTACTATTCAAACCTTGTTAGAGGAGCTAATGATTGAGCAGCTGACAAACACGACTTCAGTCTTCTCGTTCCATGCGTATTGCAATCCTACTTATTGTAACTACCCGTATTTAGAACGGTTGAACATGCTCTTTTTGTTACATTCGTCATCGGAACCTATGGTGGGCTGTCTCTCGTATTAAAGCTTAACGTTCCTTATGTGTGTCAAATTATCATTTATGATATACTCTTGGTAGAAATGGCGTAGGTCAGTTGCCGTTGTCGACGAAGCAAATCGTCCGTCTAGATGTAGGTTTTTGCATTTTTTTCATTAATCCTAAGAAGGCAAGTAACAATATATTTCTACAATTTTAAAGCTAACCTTTACCCATGCTTAGATTTCTATAGCAATAGCAAAAGTCTAAAAGTGTCCATTTCTATGAGTCTCGTGTCAAAACAAATACATGTAATCAGATATAATTCTTAATTTTTCCGCATAAATAATGATTTGATAACTGTTACAAACAAGAGTACATGATTTATCACATCTGTCTATGTTTCCAAAATTAGAAAAGGAGCCTTCATCTTGTTGCACACTACAACAATGATTCTTACCCATTAAGCAAACAATATAGACTATGATTTCTAATTGGTCTTATCACTAAAAACATCTTAAATTGGTGACACATATGAATCATATTTAATCTATGCGACTTACTCGCCCAAAACTTTCATATCAAATGATTACATATAATTCTTATAAAGGTAAATTTCCTGTGTCCT